TGGTTTGAATACGGCCGTTGTCCAAATTTTCATTTCACCCTCTATCATCGCCCAGTATAAATATTGTTTGATGTTCATATATTCATTTTTCCAAAATATTAATTTATTCTTTCTACACAACCCCATTGTACTTTAATAGTAGAAAGAAATTTCTCAACCCTATCTTTGTACTACTTTACTTGCATAACTGAAGAAAACTCCTCTAATGGATTTGCCTATTCACTCACCTGGATTACATTGATCTTTGTTCCATATCGCGTGATCTCCTCCATGTCACCCTCAGACGCTCAACTCGTTGCTTCTCGTCTGGGTTCCACTGTACGGCCTGGCGCGTGATGTCCCCAGTCGGCCTTCTAGGTGTATGCCCAATTCATTTCCACTACAATCAGGAATATCATGGGTGATAGTAGACAGCCTTGTTTTACTTTTGTCTTCACTTCAAAAGCATAACTGAGCAGGTTTCCATTGTGAAATACTTGGCATGTGGTGTCTTCATATAGTTGTTGAATCAGATTGATAAAGATTTGTGGTATTCTGTGGTGTTGAAGCAGTTTCCAAATTACCTCTCGGTCGACTCTGTCAAAGGCCTTCTCAAAGTCGACAAAGTTGAGGTGGAGAGTTGACTGTCATTCTACACTCTGTTCTATGATGATGCGTGGTGTGGCGTTGCAATTTGGTCGGCACATGATTTGTACTTCCTGAAGCCAGCCAGTCAGCCTGTTCGGGTGGTAGTTTTGAATCCAGTGCATGCTTGAGTCTCTCCAAGATGATGCGGCTTAATATTTTGCTTTGGGTGGACAAGAAGGAGTGGGGCATGCTTCCACGCCAGTTCTTGCAAACACTGAGGTCTCCCTTCTTCGGGAGTTTGACAAGGTAACCCTTCTTCCAATCAATGGCCAGGTACCTTCCCTTCCTTCCACACCTTCTGCAATAGTGGTGTGGTGTGAGCATGTCCGCTGTTGTCTCTGCGTCTGTTTTCAACGCTTCTGGAGGGATTCCATATGGTCCTGCTGCTTTCCCGCACTTCAGTAGCTTTATGGAGCTCAGGATTTCGACTTTCGTCGGAGGTCTTGTGTTCAGTTGTAGTTCTGTGGCCGGGCTGCAGGTGGTATTTCTGGACGAAGTGCTGGTGGTGGTCTATTCAAGAGCTTTTTGAAGTGGTCAGCCAGTCGTTTCCTTTGTTTCTCTTTTTGGTAATTAGATTTCATTCATTATCTTTTATTGGTTACATCTGCGTTGATCTCTTCCCAGATAGTAACCTGGTTATTTGATACAATGTTGTCAGGTCTCTCTTACCTGCAGCCTGTTCTGCTTCACTTGCCAGTGTTTCATAGAAGTATCTTTTGTCTTTCCGTGCAATCTTCTTCACTTCTTTGTCTAGTGTAGTGTTTTATACATTGTATTCAGTTCGTCTTCTCGTTGTGCACCCTTGCACTAGTTCATCTTCTGCTTCACCATCCTCCTCTCTCTGATCTAACCGATTCCATGTATCCATTGACATCCATTCCTTATCTTCTTTCTTCTTCCTTCTTAATAGGGTTGTGCAGGTTTCTTTCCACATCTCTTTCAAAGAGTTCCAGTGTTCATCTACACAAGTTTCTTCAAGAAAGTTCCTCGATATCTCCCATTTTGTCCTGATGGCTGAAGTGAAGATGTCCCTTGTAGTTTCGTCCTTCAGTTCGGTTTCTGTTCTGAGTGTTGAACTTGAACTGTGGTCGATCATCATCAGCTTCTTTGAAAGCTTTCAACTTGATTTTGAAGGTTCCTTGCACAAGATAGTGAGTGGTCTGAGCCTACATTTGCTCCTCTTCTTGATCTTGTGTCAAGTAGGCTGCATCTCCACTTTCTTGAGATTGAGATAAAGTCGATCTGATTTTTAGTGTATCCATCTGGTGAAATCAATGTCGCTTCGTGGATTTCCTTGTGCTTGAACACAGTGCCTCACCTCCAATCACCAAATCGTTGAATGCACAGAATTCTGCAAACAGTTCTCCGTTCTCATTCCTTTCACCGAGTTCTTCTCGACCCATGGTTAGTTCTCTTCTTGTGTTATCCGCTCCAAGTTTGGCATTCATATCGCTCATTAGAATTTTGATGTCACCAACTGAGGTCTTGTCCAGTGTTGATTGAAGTTGTCTGTGGAATCCCTCCTTCTTCTCTTCGTCTGCATTACTTGTAGGTGCGTAGCCTTGTACGATTGTGACCTTCCTAGCTTTTGAGTTGAACCTTGCTGTTGTGATCCTGATCCTGGAGGAGATTGGTTCCCACTGCATGGGAAAGAGCCTTCGATGCTGTTGGGGACATCATGATAGCCACTCGAAAACTCAGTTTGCTCGCGGTCGTCGTCTGGGTGACAATGTCGGAGTAGATTATTGACTCTCCAGTTAAGAGTTTGGAGAGTCCACTTTCATTCCATCTGGTTTCGCACATTCCTAACAGTTCAGTCCAATACCTTCTCATCTCCTATGCAATCTGGGCAGCCTCGCTAGTTTCAAACATGGTGTGGACATTCCATGTCCCCATGTTTACTTTCGCCTTCATCGAGGGAGAGAAGACACATTGGCCAATTGGCTTCCCGAAGGCAGGCTTTCACCAACTGGCGTCATTTTGTTTCCCCGATTCCAGCGAGGAATAAGTTTGTTATTATTTTTTATATTTTGTTTGTGCTTTGAAGTTTCTTTAGCGGTTGGATTGGCTTTCCGGGGTAGGGTTGCTAGCCCTATGCCCAACCTTCCCTCTTTACCCGGGCTTAGGACTGGCTAATAACTAGTAAACTAGTTAACCAGGCAGGGTTACGCCGGGGATTACATAAGTGAAAATACGCCTTATACGATAAAATAAAATAAGTTTTAAGTAAAATCCTTTTTAAAATAACTAAAGTAATACGAACAACCTTAATGATATAAGATCCACACTTCCCTTTATTCGAACAGTAGAATGACGAGTTGTTCAGCACTGACGATGAATAACAACATGAAATACTTGGAAAATCTCCACAACTCCCTCAAAATTTAAGAGTTTTCAATGTTTTCTATTTTTGGCTTCAAGTTGATTGTTTAACTGAATTCAATTTTGATGGTGTTCTCTGTGCAGGATTGTTTAATCGTGAAGTTTTCATTGTTATTCTAGACAAAAAAAATCAACACAAACTTCAAAAAGAAGTAAGTGATAAGGTTTTTTCTCGAACAGAGTTGTTATCCGCTTCGTATCTATCTACATGAACATCAACTAGCAGTGAAGTGTTATAACATATCTTCACTGATATTAATGTATACAGACAGCTGTCGACATAAATTTGACTGAGAAAATGTGGAAATTCTGGATAGAGGAAATGCAAAAAATGCCAGAGAATTTTTAGAAGCTTGGTGTTCAGGTCAGTCAACAGACATAATGACACTGACCCAACCTTTCAATCAATAAGAAACAATCATTCACACACAATGGCCATCAGGACAATCTACTAAATGAATTGCGGCGAAAATCTTATAACTCACTTCTTTCTGAAGTTTGTGCTAATAATTTTGTCTAGGATGACAACGAAAGCTTCACTATAAAACAATCCAGCTTAGACAACACAACACCATCAAAATTATCCTCTTGGGCTACAAATATTCTTTATCATCTTAATAAGTTCAGTTTTTTCTTTGTCTGAGGTCTCTGGTGACAAGACAGTGTATCTTATCCCGTCCTAAAGGAGGTCATTCGCGGTCCGAATAGCTCAGTGGTCACACTGCTGACTACAACATTGGGTGATGTGGGTTGTAGACCCAAGGCGGACATCATTTCTATCGAGGAATGTAGATGCACCCTGCTGACGAGTGCCAACAAGCATGAAACCTAAGGTCAAGGCTTTCTGCCGACTGAGTTCCACCATTTAGAACCAAAGCTGAACTTTTCAAAGTTGACTAGAGCAAATGGTGAACCAGCTGATGACCATACTGGTTAATGGATAGTTGTCTGGAATAATGTTTTCAGTCAGTCAGTCAGTCAGTCAGTCAGACAGTCAAAAGATGACGAAAAAGTTGACTTCTATCATCTGGTTAATTTCTTTAACAAAACTGAACAATACAGTATAAAATCTGATGAGAAATGGAAACCAATTCCTGGAGATGAAGGCGGCTGTGTCATTTGGAGTTCGACAATCGACAACTTCACTTCAGAGTAAACCAGTCTCTGCATTTATCATTGAATCCGTTCAGTAAGTGTACCTTTAACACGAGATGACTACAAATAGCTATGAGTGGTGTAGATTCCATTGGGTAGTTGCAGTCGAATGATACAAATCCTTTTGTCAGTACAATTTCAATAGTTGACAAAGATATGAATAAACATAGTTTGAAATTTACGCAGATTTTATTGTCAAGGTGATATTTATCACCGACTGACATCAGTTAAGGAACCGTTAGAGACCTGGGGACACTGGACAGCTGCTTCATCCTGGAATGGGGATCGTCGGCGATACGCACCCACGACCCGGCTAGGAATCGAATTCAGGATCTTCAGGTTTCACGACTAACGCGTTAACCACTCAGCCACTGAGTCGGAGATATAGTGAAATAGCGTGACTATCACCCAAGGTTTTCAGTTGGCATCCGCTTCCCTTCCGACTGGTTGACTGGGTCGGAAGGAGAAGGAGCTGTGACCTCATGGGGTCTTCCAGTCGGAAGGAATGTGGATGCCTACTGAAGACCTACGTGGACAGTCACGTTACATCACAAAATGACAGAATTAGGAAACTGTGAACGACTCAACTCCTACCCAGTGGCTGCATATATTTTGAGTTCTGTGCCTGGCAAAGTAATGGTTACATACCAACGAGGAGTCGCTCACTAAGACGAAACAAGTGTCCGTTGCTTTCAGGTTTTCAATGGTTCCTTGTTTGATATCACTCCATGATGAATATTATCTGAAGAACAAATAAATATTCTGTAACTACATTACTATTAAGACATATGTATATGTCCCTGTTTTTGATAAATTTTCGTTCAATATCTACTTAGAAATAGATGGTATGATGATCAGGTGATCAATTTCACTCGAAAACTGCACATTTATCTAAATGATACAGATTTTATTGGTTTTGAAATTTTACAAAAAGCAGTTCGTAGCTGGCATCAATCAAACAAAGGATTCAAGTATATGATTAGAAATCTTATCCACTTGCAAGATTTTCAATCTATGCTACAGATGAAGAATCAAATCAGTTTATCATCTTCATCATTATCACCATCACCACCACCACCAACAATAAACGGAGTATCAACAGAGAATATTGAAACATTAGTTGCCAATGTAACTCGAAGAAATACTATTGTCTATTCTACAACTGCTCTGAATGCAGATTTACAACAGTTGATGAGTATGTTCAAGCCATTTACTTATGATGATATCATATCATCTGTCAAGATAGTTAACAATCACTTAAACACAACATCTGTTGACATAATCAGTCATTATTTAAACCAATTTGATGATTGGATCAAGAGAGCAAAGGAAATTAATAAACTGTTATTATACAGAGGTGAAAGTAGTTGGAAATTTAACGCTTTAGTCGATGAAAATTTAAGTCAACTAGTTAGCGTTTTAAGTCCACTTTATAGAAGTTATCCTGTATGCTTTCCTGTCAAGTTTTCTGACAAAGTGATTACAGTGATAGAATGTCTGGTTACCCAGGTAATGTTCTTTTTTCCTACTTCCAGTTCATAGTGATACCTTTTAGTTGTGTAATTCACGTTGATTAAATATTATTTTTCTAAACGTTTTATTCAATTTAGAAGTTTATGAGGATTTATTTATTGATTTCAAGTTGGTTATATATCATGAAAACCTGGGGGGCACTGGACAGCTGTTTCTTCCTAGTGCAGGGATTTTCACCACTACGCACTCTCATGACCTCCCTGGGAATTGAACTCAAGACTTTAAGATTTCACAACGAATGCGTTCACCATCATCCTGTCCCACCAGCGAGTATTTATTCTCAAGTCTGGCTTGGTTTGTTTCATCTGCCGTAACTTCTTATTTTAGAAGGTCATGCTATATCAAGAACTGACAGAAGTAGGAAAATGCAAACCGTTGCGATTTGACCCAGTGGCCCAAGAAACCTGAGGTTCCTGAGTTTGACCCCGGTGGTGTTATGGGTGCGCACTGCTGAGGAATCTCATAGTAAAACGAAATAGATAGTTTTCAGTGCTCCCAAGTTTTCGATGATTCTTTAGTCGATAGCAGTCCGTGATGACTTTGTATTTTTTTAAGCTAATGCAGTGATTGATATTGGTTTACATTTTTATCAAGAAGTCACAACATTAGAAAATGTAATGCTCTGAGTTCGTTTGCCTAAGGTATGTGTTATTTTTGTCATAATTAATAATAACACAAACTACTATCCACTTTCAGGATATAAAACTGTTACCATAAGGTTCACATCAAGTTATGGCACCAGTCGATGAATTCAGCAAACAGGATGACTGACAGTGACGGAAATGATCTTGCCATAGGACATTCTCAAGTAAACTTCAAGTACTCAGACAATATAGTCCTGTTAGATGAAGACGCTGATACGATACAAAGGTTTTTAGGCATCTTAAGTGTTAAAGTGGGAAGGTTTGGCAAGCGTTTCTCCCCATTCAAACAAAAAGTTTTGCTCCAAAATTGGTCTACACGGGTATATGGTTTAATAATAGAGAGTAAAATGGTTGGCTACGTCGATCACTTCAGTAACTTCAGAAATCGAATCAGTTCTGGGGGATCAGTGACCAACGAATTTCTGTTTAACTTTTATTATCACAGTAACCAACTGAATTTTATAAAGACTTTTTTAGTAGTTGACTACTATAACTTAGTTGGTATGACTTCCTGCCTATTACTTCCAATCAACTAACATCTATCAAAGTGCAACGCGATGTTGATCCTTTCAGCTTGGTGGCCACATTGGAGAATGATCGACAGAATCGGATCTGTACTTAGGACTAGACAACATACGATTGGTTGCTTTCCATTGGACCTGTCAATGCAGGGTAAAAATCTATTTGGCGATCAGGATCCTACTGTGGTCCATGCTTTCTGTTAAGTAACTTTAGTCATTTTCCTGTCAGTCTGATTTTATACTGTATGTTCCTCACACTTCTTATTTTGTTTTCCTATGATTTGCAATGGGGTTTGGTATGTGGTTTATTCATTTTAACATAGTCAGAAAACAGTAACAAGCCTAAAAACACTGAATAGATGTTACATCCTGACTCTGGAATTTCTAGCAGTGATCGCCGAAATCGAGAAATTCCTAAAAATTTCAAATCATATTGTATTCCAATACCTGCTTGTGATTTGTTATAAGATGATTCTCACAAGAAGTTGTGACCTGTGGGGTTAGTCACAACTAGAGTAAGAAAGATAATCATCGTGACAGTGTATGATGAGAAGTTCGTGTCATGGATTGATAGATGCAGGAAAACATGAACTTTTGGATTGCAACCCACTGCCTGAATAGCAACGTGCTCATCACGGGATTTGGTTCGACCCCGCACAGGATCATGAGTGTACTAGGATGAAACAGATTTTCAGTGGTTCGCCAAATGATATCAATCTGTTATGAATACTACCTTCTTTCCAGTGATTTGTTTACCTATTAAGTTTCCTTTCAATTTTAACTGATTTCAATTACTCATCTGTGATGGGTTATTTCATCCTCTAGTTACGTAACATCTTGTTTACATTTTCCACTGATTATCACTTTACCAATCAACACACCACTCATCCGTACTAGCTATACTTGCACTTATATTTTTTTGTCGTAATCCTTTCGAATCTGAACCATACAATGGTACATTTAAAGGGTAGAAATGATGAAATTTTACCCATCTGAGTTGTATGGCAATTCCTTTCTAATATGTAAATTTGTGACTGTGTTTTCTACCATTAGAAAAAAATGTTGTTCTTCACTTCTTTCAGCTAACGCATACACTATCAGAGCAGCCAACTTCATTTGAAAACACAGGGACACAATTAAATGATGAACTGAAAGATAATGTCAAATATGCCTCCCAACTACCACTCAAACAAATGTTCAATGATCAACTGAAACTTGTTATTCGTTTACTGACCAATATAAATTCATTACTATCTTCCATACTGCCAATCTGTATACATCCAAATGAAACTAGTTATCATATGACTAAGAATGAAATTTCATTAAGTGTCAACGAAATCATTATGAGAAAGAAATTACGTAAAACTGTTCTACATCTGATTGAACATTTAGCAAAGGTACCACTTGTAATAAATGAATTCACTATCTCTGAAAATGATACAAGAAATACTTCAAAACACAACTGTTATAAAATTGAACTAGAAGTATGGATTAGAGCTTTCGAAATGAAGAGATTAGTAAGTTAGTTTGTCAATCGATAAAAATTTTTATTCATCTTTCTGTGTGAGATGACCGATTGCAGACATTACGCACCAAGCCCTCGAATAGAACCCAAAGGGAAAACGACGAGTTGGGCGTCCGAGGGTGGCATGGAGGAGATGGTGTGAGGAAGAAATCAAAGCTTGTGGGCAGACGTGGAACCAGGTTCAAAAGACTGCAGAGAACCGAGTGCAATGGCGACGTGCTACTGAAGCCCTATGTTCCATTAGGAACCCAAGCGACAAATAATAATAATAATTGTGTATAATGTGGACCAGTACCATACTGTATTTTGTTGTGAATGCTGATCAAAGAATTATATCCAGTTTGTGTGTGTGTAATTTTTATTCTTTCAGTTAACTGTCAACCTACGCTCTCTATATTTACTGACTAATTAAATCACTGGGATACTTCATCTACGGTTTTGACCAGCGCTTCCTGATCTCAGAGGTTCTATACTGTAACCATTGTTAAGAAACTCTCGATATGTTGCTATTTCAACACAGTAAATGTGTCATCCATATATCGCCACCATATTTTCAGTGTAGGACTAAATGTTCGTAAAATCATGTTTTCCCAACTACCCATAAATATGTCACCTACGATTAGTGATCCCGTTACTACTCTTTCTGTTTACCTTCTTCACGCATGTAGACTCAGTAGTAGATGGAATCCAATTCAGTTACTAGGCAGAACAAGGAGAATTATCTGTGTTGGATTGCAGAGTAAAACGAAGAACAGACGATGTTTCAGAAATTACCGTCTGCAGAAAACCAACACACTGTATCAAGCATCTAGACTTCAGGTCATTTCATCCAATATTGGAGTAAAACTTGGGCACTGTGGTCGGTTATAATTCCATTTTAGTCTGTTTATTAGAAATGTCACATAGTGAAGGAACAGTGTCACTGTTTACTAGAAGCCGACGTTTCAGACACAATTTAATGGCCATATTCAGATCAGGTAACTCCACAACTTTGGGACAGATTTTATATAATCCTAATTCTCTTTCCATTTTTTGTGATGACAAGGGTAGTAGAATTTTTCATATATCTGGACAAGTGCAGAATCATTTCTGTTATTTCATATATTTGGTGTTGTATCAATAAACAAAAATTCAGTTATCAATCTCTCCCTTTATTCAAATAGGTCATTTGTTTTAACGCTGTAGCTCTATTTCACCCAAGTGTGTGATTGTGTATAATTGCTTACAAAGCTGTGGCTGAGCTTTTCTCGAAATTTCTTATCTTATTGGGATCTACTAATCTTGATTTAGCAAAAGTTTTGTGCTGTTATTCCAGTTGACCCTGGTCGACTACTTTGACCTGTGTAATTGACTTTGCAATCATTGCAAGGGATTTGGTAAACCAGATTATTTTGCTTAATTGCATCAATAGGATCTTTTAACCTACAAAGCTTGTTTCTAAGCAAGTCTGTTGGATTGAATGCCACTTCAGTCTTCATGAAGTCTTCATAAATCCTCTGAGGTGCCTTCTTGGCATGGTAACACAACAGAGGCTTTAAATTCTCTCTTAACCCTATCGCCATTATAACCACCAGCGTTGAAAGAGAATTCAAAGCTTCGACTGTATTACCACACAAGGAAGGGACTACAAAAACATTACAAATAATTCTTAATAAGGCTAGAACTAGGGTGACATTTAAGCCTACAAACTCACTCAGAGATAAGCCTATCGGCTTAAAGATCTGATCGATCCAATGAAACAAAATAAATTAATCTATCAAATTTAATGTAATGAATGTAAGGTCAAGTATATAGGTTAAACAAGCCGATTACGGTTAGTTAGATTACTTGAGTATAGGGAGTTAGCCAAGTATACAGATTTGAATAAGATCAGTAATGTAGAAAAAAACTCGACCATTGTAATGCATGCATACGCACAACCACACAATATGTTTGGCCGAAACCACACTATTTAACTCCAGTGTAGTTAGGTGGAGAGAAAGATTGATTACCGAATCTTGTTCATAGAATCAAGACCTGAAACATGTGGTACGAATGACGCAACACCTATGTCAGAGAAATAGAAAATTTCACAAAACAAAGAATGAGATGTTATAAGTTGTGTGATTACATTGTCATGATTACGAACAGTAATTTATCCTTGAAACCTTGTCACCAAGTAAGTAATACTTTACCACTCACCTTTCGATATATCAAATAAAGAAGTCTAATGTGGATGTTTAGTGGGATTTGGAAACTGTTGGACACCTTATTTTATCTTACCTAGACCTTTTACTTAGTAACTGAATGTTTTCTGAATAATCAGACTACGCATCAGTCAATGTTGTAGGTCTAATAGGTGATCACTATTTTAGAAATCTGGTGGCAAGCTATTTCCAACGCTCTTGGGCTGTCCAGCTGATACCTACTTGGATTGAAAGTTCTCTTTCAGGCGTACAACACGAAACAGTTAATTTAACCTTAAGAAATAACAGTGGGAAAGATCAAAAATTGTATTAACAGTTGATGCCTGTTGAAAGATATGGAACGAATTTGCCTCATCAGTCTAGTAGACAACACAGTGGCTATAAATGGTAGGTTCCAATCTAACTGGGAACTGAATCACATGGATGCTTGTTCACCAGGCTGATACGATCGGGATAAGAAGAAATGAGAGACTATTTCGTTTTTATGCAGTACTGAGGAGACAATAGAGATTATATCGGGAATGTTATCAAGGCTTCTATAGAAGGGATCCTGTATTCAAACAGTGATTAGCCAGATCAGTCCTATAAATCGAAGCTTGGGAGGAACAAAGCTGTTAGTAACTGTGAGTTATTTATCTACATCTTAGATACGAAAGTGAATGTATATGTGGTTCACAACATGTAGTTTTATCTACTGAATGTGTCGGTTTCTCATCGAATGAAGGAGAATTTTACTTCTAAAAAGGATACATTTCAACCAATGTCGTTTTATGGAACTAGTAAGCATCCATCTTACATTTATTGTCATGGTTTTCAGATTAGTTGACTCACAGAAAGCTTTTGTGAATGTCTCATTCATATCAATAGTGACGTATGTAGAAAAAGAAATTGCTCTTGGTCTGATACTTTGCTTTATATTGAACACATTGATCAAACCATCTAGAACAACATATGGTTGAATACTTTTTGTGGATTATTTTTGTTTAAATAGGCTAAAAAACGACCAATATCTCTTTAATCAAGATATTCTCTTCTCTGTTTCATCTATTTTTCTTCCATTTATAAAGGATTCACTTAGTAATCCATTTCAATATTTCAATAACCGATTGAATGTGGTATTGGATGATAACACAATTGAAATAGTAACAAAAATAAGGAATATTTTAAACAAAGATAATGAAATAGGCGCATTTATACATCAGTTAAATTATCAAATCAATTGTTTACTTTGTGAACTCATCTCTCATACATCATCTGTATCTATGACATTCAGTACAACAATTGACAAGTTAATAAACAGTGAATTGTTTCATGAAGATTGGATACGTGATATAATTCATAAATTGATTATAAATTCTAGTGAATCAATCGTCTATCTACTAGACTGTTTGATGGCTCATGCATGTACTCGATGGAGGATGATTTACTCAAAACTATTCAATTGTCATCTTTCTCCTCCTCCTCCTTCTCCTCTTTCTACTGTTAACAATATCAAGGAGTTGGATGAAAAAGAATCCATTTCTACAATAATAAGATCATTATTTATTATTGATTGGTTGACAGAACAATATCCACATTTAATTCAACCATTGAAGGCTATAGGATGTAATGATTTATTCTACTTTTTCAATTCTAAACATATTGTTACATTGATGACTAAACTGAGTGAAAAGTATACCGTTAATTTTGCACAAATCAAATTAATCAAATGTGTTCTAGCTGCATTGGTTAGTCGATTGTACAATAAATTGGGTAGAAAGAAAGGCGGTTGGATAAATAATTCTATCAGTGATGTGATGGTTAATTTCTAGTTTCAACTATATCACATTACTCTGCTCAGTATGTTGTGTTGAATTTATTGTTGTAGAGGAACAGATAGTTTACAAATAATTTCCTTTCATTTTTTGACTGATCCACAACAAACTGACCTATTCACAATTTTCTTATCTCTTCATTTGGTAGGAATTTCTTTTCTTGACATAAGGATTTTACCTCACCTGGTTAACTAGTTCAGCAGTTACTAGCCAGTCTTAAGCTCGGGTAAAAAGGTAAGGTTGAGTGTAGGGCTACCAACCAAAACCCCGTAAAACCAATCCAATCGCTAAACAAACTTCAAACCATAAAGAAATTATAAAAAATAAAAACAAACCTACTCCTCACTGGAATCGGGGAGACGAAATGACGCTGGTTGGTGAAAGCCTTCGGCAAGCCAGTCAGTCGATGTATCTTCTCTTCTCTTCTCTCAATCAAAGCAGGAGTAAGGATGGAGATAGGGAATGTCCGCACCATGTATGAACCTAGGAAGGCTGCCGAAATCACCAAAGAGATGAGGAGTTATGGCATTGAAGTGCTTTGAATTTTGGAAAGTAGATGGAATAGAAGTGGACTCTCCCAACTGTCAACTGGAGAGTCAATAATCTACTTCAATATTGTCACCCAGACGACAATCATGAGCACACAGAGGGAGTGGCAGAAACTTGGCGCTTCAAGAAAAGTACTTACAACAAACTGAAGACATTAATAAACAGCTGCCGCCTACGCTCACTCCATACTGGCACTGAAGATCAAATGGCCAGAAAGAATAAGCAACAAGGAACTCCGGCTGGCAAAGAACCAACCAAGAACCTAATACCCAACAAATATGCAGGAGAAGAAAGTGGAGATGAATTGGATTGAACATACACTGAGAAGGCCGATTGGGGACAACACGCGCCAGGCCAGTCGCTCAATTGGGATGCAAAGAGGAAACGACGAGTTGGGCGTCTGAGCAGAGGGTGACATGGAGGAGATCATGTGAGGAAGAAATGAAAGGTTGTGGGCAGCGGTGGAGCCAGGTTGAAAAGACTGCAGAGAAGAGAGTGCAATGGAGGCATGCTATTGAAGACGTATGTTGCACTAGGAACCCAAAGGAAAAACTTTTTTATATATTATCGGCATGAGAATGGACTGGCAACCCACACATTTTGCATAGGTAAACACGCCGGTCATCTCAGCTTGCTTTTTGTTAGGGATATCTGGTAATGATCCTTCCACATGTTCACCTACGGAAACCTTGTTACGACTTTTACTTCCTCTAAATAGTCAGATTAAGTCGTCTTTTCAGCATAAGTAGAGTAACAAGCCATTTCAAGGAATTCAGTAAACCTTTCAATCGGTATTAGTTGTGGGCGGTGTGTACAAGGGGAAGGGGCATAATCAGCGCAACCTTATGACTTCCGCTTACCAGGAACTCCTTGTTCACGGGGAATAGTTGAAAGCCCTGATAGCATTAAATATGTCAGTATCTAGGAACGAAACTGTTTTTTTGGAGCAGAACATCATTACTTCTTTTTTATTTTGTAAGTACTTTTTGTCAAGAAGTGTCATCAGCTGCAGAATTGTAGAAAACCTGAGAGCATTTGACAGTTGTTCCATCATAGTTTGTAACTTTCAAACATTGGAAACACAAGTAGGAGAAGGTGGACCATTGTATTTCAACCCACCGACTGAATAGTTATATGCTCACCATGAGATCTGACAATTCTTAGTTCAATCTCTCAATCGATCATAGGTGGACTACTGCTGAAGAACCCACAACTACGAGAAAACAGATATCCAATACTCCCGAATGTTCGATACTTCTCCAGTTGACGTCGGTCCCCTTGGGTGATAACTGTTTCAGATATAACTTTATGGGATGATCTATTTAGGTGCAGAAGCAACTTTTGCCTGGGAATAATAACAAATCAAATTCAAGTGTTTGTTTAGTATTCAACGATGAACATGCATCTCACTAGGAGTTATGATTCCATTTTACTTATTGTCAAATAGTTATTATTCATCACAGACAGACATCATTGAAGGAGGTCATTCGACACCAGGGAACACATGACAGCTGTTTCCTCCTGTTATGGGGCTCTTCAGTAGTTTTCAACCATGTTGCTGTCATGCATAGAACCCAGGACCTTCAGGTTTCTTGGTGAGTGTGTTACCACTGGGTCATTGCGTTGCAATACAGTAGTCCATAATTTCCTACTTCCGTCACTTCATGATATAGTGTGATCTCCATCAAATGCGGTCTTTGGGTAACTGTCCTCATGTTCGACTTGGTTGGCCTCACGATCACGACTTTTGATCAGAATTTCGGGGTATCCTATTTGGAAGCAAGTGACCAGTGTGCACTGGACAGAAACGACAATTTCCGTTTACTCTGGCTTATCATAAAGAAATTTCAAAAGTCAAACATAATGAATGGAAAGGGAACCGGTTGTGAAATGATAGCAAAGATTTGTAGCTCAGGATGAGGAATAATGGTGGTTTAGTGTTCTGTGAGCTTTGAAATTTTGTCGTGAAGGTTTCATCATTAGGCTTAGTGACATTTGCTGCACTAACTTCATAAAGAAGTCTTCATATCAAAGGATATCATCCTTTCATCACTGCTTATCCTGAAATCTTTCATCTTGTCTAGAAATTCAGTAGCTGAGTTAATTAAGCGTTCACTTCCATTTACGAGATACTTTAGCTTTCTGTATAATTCTTTAGATTAGTTAAGTGAAGGCGTTCCAGGTAGCGAAACTGTTGATCGTAGTGAAATGTCTGCTTCATATATCGATTGTAGAACCTTGGTAGGATGGGTGCATTTCTTTTCATCCGCCACTGTTCTTCGTTTGTAATCTGACCGGCTTTTACTAAACTCCTCAGTTTCCCTTAGATCTAGTTTTCCGACCGTTTAACTGGATTGTGGTCTAGTGGTCGGTACACATTTGTGTCGTTTAGTGATTCCTGTGCTTTTTCGTCACAGCCTGTTTTGCTAATCACCGAGGTTTTCTTTTCTTTATCCGAAAGTGTTATTAAAATTGTCTTGTCAGTCATTAGTGATTTCAGTGGATTTCACTTGTGTTGGTTTCCTTTGATTTTCACTACAAGTACAATCGATTGACGTAGTTCTCTGTTGTTGTTGTTCAATATTTAATACTAAGATTTTCAATGTAAACTCCAAAGAAGCACAGAAATCAAGTTTGTTTTCATTCTCAGTGTTGTAGTTCAGTCTCTTTTGAGGTAAATCGTATTCTGTTGTAGATAGTGGAGGGTTTAAAAGATTCATAACCCATTTATCCTTTAATTCCTTCTCTGTTGGTTATAATAGGCCCAATAGTTTATCATTCAACTTCTGGATCCTCTTCTCACCTTTGGTCTTAGTTGTGATATTGATAGGTGTTGTCAGTTTGCTCATCATATCAGTTCCGATGATTGTTTTCAATATTTGTTGTTGACTTGTCATTACCTTATTGTATTTGGTTAATCTGTTGTGTGTATTAGATATCATTAGACGCACCCTTTTTGTACCACTTCGTTGTGCACTTCTGCATTCAATAGGACAGTCGATGAGTGGTCTGTATCAAACACCTAGTGGTAAGATGTTCCACCGTAAACATTCGTGTAAAGAACAAAAACTGCTTTCAAGTGTAAACTTTCCGACTGGCGAAATTTCCCCGTTTCCGAGTGCAGAAAAGTGCGTTGCACTGAAAAGATTTTGAAACAATGGAAAAGATTTGTAGCTTAGGATGAGGAGTGATGGTGGTTTGATGTTCTCTGACCTTGGATATTTTGTTGTGCACGTTTCATCACTCGGCTTAATGACATCTTCAGCAGTAACTTCTTTATGAAGCTTTGTTTTCTAAGGTTCCTGAATTCTGCCCACAGATTTAAGTTTCCCTTATGTTAACGTATTTTTGGAGGTTAGTATAGACGTTAGCATTTCATTCAAGCAGAGCTTGAGAGACAGATAGACATAAAAAGCATAAAATCTAGTTAAATTACATATCGGTCAAAGTTGCCGCGCTTATCATCACCACATCAACAGGAAGACAACAGAGGCGAACTATAAAGAAACAAAAAATAGTAACGGAAAGCTTTGGAAAAACAAGTAAAATACGAAATTATAGCAACAAAAATAAGACTGTCATTGGTAGGATGCTCAAGATTTAGATAAAAAATAGGGTAAAGATGAATTCATCCCATTGTAGTCGACTATACTTCGTAGTATGTGCTGAAAAATACAGTGATACACTATGATACACCAATTGGTTTGTAAAACTCAAGTCGTTTCGTTCTAGAAGCCACTATAAGTGTAGGAAATGAATGAATGGATAAAACCAAATAGTGGATAGAAATATAAATCATAAGAACAATGGGGAATTCGATTTAGAACAAGAAACCTACTGATGTGATTTCTCGCTTATTGAACTCAATGAGGTATTGCAGCCAACGCGTGACAGGCATAAGCAACAAACGATTCATTAGATACAGTCAAAATCCGCTTGATGACCAGTTCATGCATTAAAATCTTATTCCTTGCAATGTCCTGATGGGCTGAATGTTGAATATATCGACAATTATAAATGCTTTTCAAGTGTTCTATCTGACACTTGTACTTTCTCGTTGCTGTATGGAGTCGAGCTGTTCGACCTCTGTTGGCAGATGTACTCCTATCCAGATATCTCGATACTGCCGAATATTCATGATATAACAGGGAATTACAAGTAGCTGTTGCACAACAGGCGGCTCTTGTACTTTGTCGTTTGAAGCGATGCGGTACTGGGAATGAGTCTCAGTGAGAACACCATCACTCATTGGGGTGCAGGTACACTCAGCTGACAAGTCTCAATTAAAAGTTAACGTGAGTCCTGAATTCCACTGCTGGTAACCACTATGAATATAGCCTTTCAGGTGACTTAATTCAAAACGGATATCGTGAGATTCAGATGAGAAGATATGACCTGTAGAGTTAACTAAGTTGAGTGTTGTTGCACCTCATCAGGATTTGACAGAA